GTTTTATCTCGTAAACATATTTGCAAAGGTGCTACTTCAGCCAAATAAACATGATTTGCAAGAGTGGGCTTTTTTATTTATTTTTCTTATTTACTACATTACTCCCCAAAGAGTTGGTCGCAAACTCATCATAATTATGTGGTATGTGGCCTGCATACTAAACACACATCATGCCTGGCCCGCCGTAGTTTCAACTTAACACCCTCGGTATGGACTGTCGTCTAGGGTGATCGTTTTCACATGTGACTACTGATACGGCAGAAAAGCCCCGATTGGTGTCCTGCGCATGCGTGGTGAAAAAACAAGATGGCGGCGTCTTGACACGAGATGATACCACTCACAAGATTGCCTCGCGGATGCCCCGTTAGACACTTTACGGAAAATTAATATGACATGCATATATTATCGCGCGATTGAGTTTGTGCTTTTTACCCGGAAATGACGTTAATATGCACATACGCATATGTGTCGTACGCCTAACCGCGAGAAATCGGATACGGCTGCCGTACGCGTACCTTGGGCCTTTCATAAATTCATTTTCATTACTGTAGAAGGGTTAAGGATGATATAAAACCTTGTTTAAGCATTTATTATCTAACAACAGTATACAGTATCTTTTAATCTATTATCATTCACACATATCTGCATTAAACAATCTTTCATTTTCATTCGATTATAACATACACTCAGTTTACAAAATTTATTGACAAAAATGTTCGGTTTCTTGCTTATAGTGGATCCCGGTCACGGTGAAAATAAACCTCCGTCTTCTCACACTTTCTTAATCTCTTTTAACCCTTTCAATCTTCAGGCGGATCTAGTTATCAAATCTTTATTGGTCTGATTCTTTCTTATTTTTTTCTGGGCGACTAGTATTTCTAGAATTCCTGATTTTTGTTCATAGGCCTATGTAAGATGTTCCAACTGCTTTTGGCCCTCGGGTTGTGATCTTGTTTTTGCCAGAGGTTGCTAACAGGTTAAATATATGTAGGCCAGCTGTTTTTGTTTCTATATTTGTTGTTCCACGGCACTCATTATTCATATATTCATTCATTTCATTAAAACAAAATATGAAAAAAGCATAAAAAAAAAAAAAATCTCGGTGAAACTAAGGTTAAGGTTAGGTTGTCACGATGATTATGTTTCGCCTGGAATTCATACGCAAGAACATGACTAGTATTATATACGTAAATGCAGCATCCAAAAATTAGCGTGTCTTTGTGTGTAGATGCTTGATAAGTTGGATCTTGCTTATCTCGTGATTACTCTGCCTTCTTCGGTTCCTCGCCTCGACCTGTGGGGATAGGAGAGACGTTGTGAGAGGAAGGCGGGTGGAATATGTTTATTCTTATCTCTCTCTTTCTGTTTATCTGTATCTGCCTGTCTTTCTTCCTATCTCTCTCTCTCTCTCTCTCTCTCTCTCTCTCTCTCTCTCTCTCTCTCTCTCTCTCTCTCTCTCTCTCTCTCTCTCTCACACACACACACACACACACACACACACACACACACACCACACACACACACACACACACACACACACACACACACACACACACACACACTCACACACACACACACACACACACACACACACACACACACACACACACACACACACACACACACACACACACACACACACACAACACACACGCACACACACGCACACACACACACACACACATACACACAAAACATAAAAACACACATCCTCTCACCTGGCCTACGAATGAGCAGCTTCTCGAGCCCCAAGACAGGTCCCTCGGTCATCAGTGACAGGAGAATCGCCAACAACCCACCGATGAACAGGTACCCGCAGGTCTCAACGATCTATGACACAGGTAAATAAAGATTATATCCTCTGATTGTGTTTTATTTGATCCCCTGATTAAAATGAAGGGTCTTGTTGGTGTAGAGGATAATGTGCGGTTATTGGTTATAGGTAAATGGAATTAATTTAAAGGTTTGAAATGGATAATTTTTTGTTCACTCAGGTATCTAATCTTACCCCCTACCACCCATCCGCCCTTATATTTTGATATAAGGGCGGATGGGTGGCAAATAAAAAATGATAACAATAATGATAATAATTGTAGAAGTAGTAATAATAGTAGTAATGATAATAACGATAGTAATAATAATATTATTAATAAGATAATAATAATAATAATAATAATAATAATAATAACAATAACAATGAAAAAAAATATTCAAAAAAACAATTTAAAAGAACTATAATCATTATAATGACAATAGCAATAATAAGGCTAATACTACTGCTATTAACAGGAAGAGTAAAAACAACAATAATAACAATAATGGCAACAGCATTAATAAAACAAAGAAGACAACACACAGCATAAGATTACAATACTCACTTTATTCAGGTGGTCGAGATACAAGGGCAAAAAAACAGCGCCTGAGTAAACAAACTGAACTGGAATTGTCGTGAGGAACATCGTGTAGGTGAGGCGACTTAGCGGCTGCCATGAAGGGTGGGAAAGAAACGTGTTGATAGGACCTGGAAAACAAAACGAAAAAGCAAAATAGTGACGATCAGTTGATTAAAAACAAATGAATGATGATCAGCTGATTAAAAAAAAAGAAAAAAAAAACTAACGATCAGCTGATTAAAAACAAAAGATTAACAAACAGCTGATTAAAAACAAAAAGTTAACGATCAGTTGATTAAAAACAAAAGACTAGCGATCTGCTGATTAATAACATGAATAACGATCAGCTGATAAAAAAGAAATAAAAAATAACGATCAGCTGATTAAAAACAAAAGACTAACGATCAGCAGAATTAAACCAAAATAAGTCCTGTTGGTGTAGATAATGAATAAGGAATTACGGTTAATTGCATCGGTTATTATTATATTATGTCATTATATGTGTTGTGCTCTAAAAGTGTTGGTAAAACTAATTACAATAATAAGAATAATTATTATAAATTCAGAAAGATTTATACTGATAATGGCCGTAACAATAATGATAATATGCAATTCAACAATTACGTTTACAATAGCGATAATGATAATAAGAATGATAACAATAATGAATAATTATGAATAAAATAGCAAAGTTATTGATCACTAAAGTAGTATGGTTTTTCTACCATAGTATGTATACGGTAGAGTGTTTTTTTCCATTTATCACTAAAGTAAACAACGAGAATGATACTTTTATCTCTAAAAAATAATAATGATATCAGTAGACAACAACAATGATTATAAAAAACTACAACTAAACTAAAACTACAACAAAATATCAACAATCAGTATAGTAAGGGCGGCTATAACAATAATTTTCAGAACCTCCCACAACAACAAGGATGATGATAATAACTATAACAAAATAACAACAATGATAAGGGTGACTGCAACAAAACAACAGCAAAAAAGAGAAAAAGATGACAATTAAACCTACAACAATAAAACACAATAACAAAACGAAAAACCCCCCCCCAAAAAAAAAATGACAATAACACCTACAACAATAAAAAAAATACAATAGAAAATAAAAACCAAAAAGCAAAACACCCAAATCATAAACAAAACAAACACAACACGACCATCACAACCACCTTCCAACAACAACAACAACAACTTTTCGAACCTCCATAGCCGGTGTGACAAGCGAAGACCACCCACAGGAGAGCCAGCGCCCACGCCCCTCGACTGAAGCCTCCGTAGATGACGCTGACGGCAGGTGGCATAAGGTCAGGGTGATCGGTCGTGTTGTAGTTGGCCACGCCGAAGATGACCAAGCAGGCCACAAGTGCTGCTAAGAGCCAGCCGAGGAGGGCCTCTGGTTTTCGGGAAAGGGAGAAAGGGGGGTATTTTTATTTTATTTATTTATTTATTTATTTATTATTATATTATTTTATTTTTTTTTTTGAGGGGGAGGGCGGAATTTGCATCTTTTAATCTTTTTTTTTTTGGGGGAGGGTCTGTTTGTCTCTTTCTCTTTCTTTCTCTCCATCTAGTTCTCTTACTCTTTCTTTCTTTCTCTCAATCTCGTTCTCTTTCTCTTTCTTACCTTCTTCTCTCTCTCTCTCTCTCTTTCCTTCTTTCTCTCTCTCTCTCTCTTCTTCCTCTAGTTCTCTTTCCCTCTTCATCTATCCCTCTCTTACTCTCTCGCTCTCCCAACCACAAACTAACCCCCCCCCCATAAAAAATAACAAAATAAATAAATAGATAAACAATCCAAAACTCACTTAAACGGCAAAAAAAGAAAGAAAAAAAGAAACAAAGAAAGATAAAAAAAAGAAAGAAAGAAAGAAAAGAAAGAAAAAAAAGAAAAAAAAGAAAAAAAAGAAAGATAAAAAGAAAAGAGAGAGAGAAAAAAAAAAACAATAACGCCACCAAGTCATGTTGACCTTCTTGCCCGACACCTTGAAGATCAGCAGCCCCGCCCAGCACCCGACGAGGTAGGCGTTCGCTCGACACCACGGCTTCTGGTAAGTGTCCACGAACTCGGTCATTGGCACTTCCGGTCGTCTGCGGGTTGCGGTGGGTGGGTGAGCTTCGTGTGTGCGTGTGCGGGTTCGTGTGAATGACTTTGTATTTGTAGATGTAGGTGTTTATTTATGTGTAGTGTATGGAAACGGGATATCTAATATAGGTATGCCTGTATATGTATATATATATATATATATATATATATATATATATATATATATATATATATATATATATATTATATATATATATATATTTCATATACATATATTCTATATATACATATATATATATATATATATATATATATATATATATATATATATATATATATATATATATATATGTGTGTGTGTGTGTGTGTGTGTGTATGTGTGTGTGTGTGTGTGTGTGTGTGTGTGTGTGTGTGTTGTGTGTGTGTGTGTGTGTGTGTGTGTGTGTGTGTGTGTGTGTGTGTGTGAGTGTGAGTGTGAGTGTGTGTGTGTGTGTGTGTGTGTGTGTGTGTGTGTGTGTGTGTGTGTGTGTGTGTGTGTGTGTGTGTGTGTGTGTGTGTGTGTGTGTACATACATATATATTTATGTATATTATGTATACATACATACACACACACACATATATACAACTTTACACCGTTTTTACTCTCTCCCTCTCTTACGATACAACAGCGGCAACATCAGTAACAACACAGACACAGATGGAATACACCTTGTACACGAACCACAAGGACAGTACTTACGCGAAGAACAGAGCAGGCACGGCATTGTAAACAGCAAAGATCACCGTTGGTATTACGAAGGAAACGACGGTCATTATTCCCATCCATGGAAGACCTGCGGCGGTTTAAGGAAACGAGAGATATTAAAAGTAAATACATAAGAAATACATATATAAGAAAGCAAAGTGTAATGGATTGTGATAATACCAGAATTATCATTATTATTATCATATGATGATAAAAATGGTGATAATAATAATAACAACAATATAATATCATAATAATTATTATTATTATCATTACAAGTATCATTATTATGACAGTTATCACCATAACCACCTAGACTGATATTATATCTTTAGGAACGGTGTGAAGCAACTTGTATATTACCATCGGCCTTGTATTTGCATTTAATTATCACCAACGTTTTATTACTGATCAAACATCCAAAATAACAAATCCAAAAGTTCCGGTAAGATAATGCGCAGCCTAGGCCTACGAAATTTACCTATTTTAGGCCTCCAGAGCAGCGGTATGAAGATGAGGGGTAAGATGACGTAGATCTGGGTGTCGACTCCCGTGTACCAGCACTGCGGCAGGCACTGGTGGAAGGTGTTGAGATATTTTTAGCGTTTATCCCAGTATGATTTTAAAAATCTACTCATTATATCTTATACTTTTTTTTATATTACCTGTGCAATCATAGATGTAAATCCAGTACGTGTGAAAGTGTTTATAGAGACTAATGTGCATAAACACTCACACATTCACTATGTGCATTTTTCATTGGAAAATTAGTTCACTTTTCTTTGTACAAACTCTTACTCTTTTCCTTTCCCCTTAACATGTACTATCATCTACCCTTACCTCTCACCCAAGGTATTTTAACGCAGGTAGCCCTTTATTCTTTGCAAATATATATATATTTTTCTACTTTCCCTGATTACTTTTTGAATTATCTTTATCAGTTATCAAATTGCACTGACAAAAACTTTTAAAAAATATATTGCACAGTTTACAAGGGCCAAAAAGGGGGCAGAGCTAATGACATGATCATGTTTATTCAATGAGAATGTGCTGTGAGAAATCAGATATTACTAGATACAAAATTATTTTTATAATTCACTTAATATTTTTATAAACACCAGAAGTAAAACCAAAATTAGGTTTATCTTATTTATGATAACGAGGTCCTTACCATTAGCCCAGGTTGGAAAACAAATGCTTGCAGTGATGCGGATCTTCAATAGTTTTGAGTCGCAGATATAATAATTTTTGCTCGCGCCCAGTATTTCTCGCAGATATTTGAATTCTAATTACAACAAAACAAAATAAAAATCCATCCATATTTAAAAGCAAACGAGCAACAATCACTTAATTATCAAGTCACTTCAGACCATCGCTTTAATAGTCTTATCGCAAATTTTGATATTTTACAACTGCTTTCTTCATTCTTTGAACTTTTGAATTTGGTTTCGTTTGAAGTAGCTTGTCTTCAGAACTAATTCTGCAGGAAACCCGAGTGCGACAAACAATCCAAACAATAAACGAAATAGTTTTCGAACTGAAATCTTTGACAATCAAAATTCTTGACTCAGACACAGAAATGCTGTCACAAGTTTGAATTCTGTTTCTGTTTTTAAACAAAGCTTGCAAAAAACACATGATTCCAAAAGCCAAAATATTGGATTTTTACCACAAGATGTAATTAGAAATTAAACACTTTGGCAACACTTTTTTACCGAACATATCGTCTGCTGCTAAAATTGTTGACAAGAATTCGATATGCTCTTTATTAATAGACCTCGCAAACAATGTGTGGGTGAGATTTTTTCATAGGGACATGATTTGGAATTTCCCGAGTCAAAAGTAAACTCATGTCTTTCTTCATGTGTTGTTCGTTAGCTCGTCTACATTACTACTCATTCGTCCGGTGATTATCATGAAATTACTTACCGTCCCAGTGTTCCGTTCAGAAAATACGAACAAATAAACTGGAATGGTTACGACAAAAGATTAAATAAAACCTCGCAGGTCTAATACTTTGATGAAAAACTAATGCTGTTGCTTGCCCCACAAATGTCCCTTGTTCGTGGGCCGCTCATACATTGCCGTTGCTCTGCGAAAAACGACATATTTTCCAACCGAGCCATTAGCAGTGGACCTCCCAGTTTATATTGACTTTGCTCTTACCATATATTTTTCTCCCTTCCCTTTTCTTCTAACCATATACCTTTCTCTCATCCCTTTTCCTCTTTCTTCTCCCCATCTACGCGTCCCCTTTCCCCCTCTCCTCTCACCATATGTCCTTGTTCCAGAAGGTTCCCGACGAACAGCGTGTCAGCCCACCAGTAGTTTTTGCAGCTCTCCACGATACCTCTCTCGACATGCGGGCCATACGGACCCACCAGGGCGAATCTGGCGACGGTGGCCATGGCTCCTGCGGTCAAGGCGATCGGGGGAGCTAGCCTGAAGAGGGGAGGAGGGAGAAAGGTCAGCTGTGTCTACTATAAGAACATACGATAAAAGTAATTAGTCGATAAAAGTAATTAGTGCTACAAAAAATGAGCATGACAACAATATTAACAATAACTATCATAACAGCAGTACAAAAGATACTAACAGTAAATACAGTAAAAAGTGAATATAGTCAAATGCATGCAGCACAACCCATGAATATAAATCAATCATTAAGAGTAAATTCAATAAAGAATAATGAATAAAGTGAGCAGTAAAAAAAATACAATTACAAAAAGTAAACACAGTGGATATATTAATAAATAACTGTAGTAACAATTGTAATAAATACCTTAACAAATACATTAATTACACCAAAAATTAATACAACATTAAGCACACTAACTCAAACAAAAATTAACGCAAGCCTGAACCTTCAACTTTTTATTTTTTTTCTTTCTTTCTTTCTTCTCTCTTCTCTCTCTCTCTCTCTCTCTCTCTCTCTCTCTCTCGCTCTCTCTCTCTCTCTCTCTCTCTCCATCTCCATCTCATCTCCATCATCTCCATCTCCATCTCCTCTCATCTCCTCTCTCTCATCTCCATCTCTCTCATCTCCCTCTCCATCTCTCTCTCTCTCTCTCCTCTCTCTCTCACTCTCTCTCTCACTCTCTCTCCTCTCTCTCACTCCCTCTCTCACTCCCTCTCTCTCCCTCTCCTCTCTCTCCTCTCTCACTCCCTCTCTCACTCCCTCTCCCTCTCCCTCCCTCTCTCTCTCTCTCTTTCTCTCTCTCTCTCTCTCTCTCTCTCTCTCTCTCTCTCTCTCTCTCTCTCTCTCTCTCTCTCTCTCTCTCTCTCTCTCTTCTCTTCTCTCCTCTCTTCTTTTTACTTCTTCATAAAACACCAACCTTATGAATCGATGAACGTAATACATAATCCAGTTGACCCGACCTGCCCTCTTGTGCTCCCTCATGACCCCATAAGCCACAAGAAGACCACTCATGAAGAAGAATGAGTCGACGCTGAAGGTGGCATTTCCTATTATCTGCTCGATCACCTCGTCTACAAGCTGTGGAAAGAGGGATGGGTTAGTTACTATTTGTATGTCAGTCTGGGAGGTTGTCTGTCTTTTTCTCTGCTTGTCGACGTGTTTATATGATTTGGTATCTTTCTGTTTATTCTATTTAGCCCTCCGTCTGTCTGTCTGTCTCTCATATGCATACATATATACGCCTAAAATGTGTATATATGTATGTATATGTACATATATATATATATATATATATATATATATATATATATATATATATATATATATTATATATAATATAGATAAGTAGAACATACATCCAAAGACAAAGGAAAAGTCGTCAGGGAAGAATAAAATAACTAGAGAGAAAGAAGGAAAGATAAAAAGAAAGAAAGAAAGAGGCAGTTCCGTGTTTCGAAAGAGAAGTTAAAGAGAGGATAAATGAAGAACTTAAAGGATAAAGGAAAAATAAATAAATGAGATAAATGAAGAACTTAGAAAATAAACGAAAAAACTTAGAAGGCAAATGAAAGACTTAGAAGATAAATGAAGAACTTGGGAGATAAATAAAGAACTTAGAAGATAAATGAACAGAAGATAACGGGGAAAAAAATATAAACGTTGAACTTACCACTGTTGCTCCTACGACGTTCTTCGTGACCCCCAACAGGAACATGTAGCCGTGACCCCATACGACCCAGGTCATGGACAACACTCTGGCAGGGGAATAGGGAAGTATGTGAATGGCTGGAAATTTGAGTAAAAAGTATGCAAATTTCTCTTTGGTTTTCAAATTTGTAGGTCAATGATATTTTTTGCTTGAATTGTATCCCTGTTCGTGTCTGTTTTTCTTTCTTTCTCTCTCCCTTATTCCCTCTCTCTCCCCTCCTTCCTCTCTCTCTCCTCCTTCTCTCTCTCTCCTCTTCCTCCTCTCTCTCTCCCCCTCTTTCCCTTTCCATCTCCCCTTCCTTCCCCTCCTCCTCCCTTCCATCTCTCCCCCCTCCTTCCCTTTTTCTCCCTCTTCTTTTTCCTCTCTCTCTCTCCTTCCTCCTCCCCTCCTTCCCTCTCCCCTTCTTCTCTCTCTCTCTCCTTCCCTCTCCTCCCTCCTTCCTTCCCTCTCCCCCCTCTCCCTCTCTTCTCCTCCTTCCCTCTCTCCCTCTCCTACCCTGCCAAACATACACAAATACACGCACTTACCTCAGGCCATGCAAGCAGGAAATAACAGCTGGATTCTCCTTGGTGTTGATGTAGAAAATTTTGTTGAAGTTGGAGTAAGCCGAAAATACGAGCAGATACTTCAGAGGGCCTGTGGAGAGGGTGGTGCTTAGTGTATTTTATTACTACCCTTATCATCATTATCTTATTATTATTATGATCTTTATTATCACTATCATTCTTATCATCATTCCCATTATAATAATTACTGTTGTCAATAGGAATGGTATTATCATTATCATTACTAGCATTCCTGTTCCTATCTTATCTATGATCTTTATTATCACTATCATTCTTATTATCATTCCCATATAATGATACTGTTGTCAATAGGAATGGTATTATCATTATCATTACTAGCATTCCTGTTATTATTATGGTTTTTAGTTTTATCATTTCTTAACATTACTATTATCATTATTATCATTATCAATTTTATAATCATTATCATCATCTTCGCAATCACCATCATTATCATCACTATTATCATCATTGCAATCTCTGTCATCATAATCATTGCCATCATCACCATCATCATTAACATTATCATCATCATCATTAGTTATAATAGGCCTACAAGTTGTAGCGCCAGCAGTAGCATCATCATTACCATCACCTTTATTAACGTCAACTAAAACTACCATTCTTACCATTATTATCATCATTCCCTATTTACTCCCATTCTTTACTCTTAACGTCTGACTCACTCACCTTTCCTCAGGTGTTGTGAATCAGTCTGACTCATGATGAATTCAGCGAGAGCTCCGGCCAGCAGCAGGAACCCCAGTATCGAGATCACCACACTAAGGACAGAGGAGTGGAAACAATAGGAATAGAAACAAAGAAAAAAAAAAAAAAGAAAAAAAGAAAAGAAAAAAAAAAAAAAAAAAAAAAAAATATTATATATATATGCGGATGCTGTAAGGAAAAAAGGTAGATGGGGGAAGAGAGAAAAGAATATGCGAATGGTGTCAGAAAAAAAAATATATATGGATGGGGAATGAGAGAAAAAAGAATATATGCGGATGGGTGTCAGAAAAAAAAGTGGATTAAAAAAGGATATGTAAAAGGGTGGTAATTTTCGGTGGTAGTTTCTTTAAACTGAGTAAATATATGTATGCATCTTTGTGTTTGTTTGTGTGTAAATGCGTATATGTATGTTTGTGTCTGTTTGTAAATACGTACGTGTATGCGTTTGTGTCCATACGTACAGCTAGACACACTTAAATTATACATACACACGTACACGCAAGACTTACATGTACGTGTATGCGTTTGTGTCCATACGTACAGCTAGACACACTTAAATTATACATACACACGTACACGCAGACTTACATGTACACAATATCTCCAGCGTTGAATGCCGTGACATCATCTTCAGCTTTGCAGTCCAAGTAACTGACTTCCTTTCCGGCCACACTCAGACGTTCCATAAGACTGGCCTTTAAGGAGAGTAAAAGGTTTAATAAGACGTATGACTGTGCTGACTGTGAAGAGATCTATGATTTTTTGTGTGTATGATTTTGTGTTTTTTTAGTTACTTTTTTTTCACTTCTTATTGTTCGTTCTCCCCCAAATCTTTCGTTTGTCTCATCTACGTCTTTCCTTTCGCTATCTTGCCCTCTCCTTAAACTCTTTTCTTCATTTGCTCCTTTTTTTCCTTTCACTTCCCCTTTTCTCCTCATCCCCCTCCTTTAACTCTGGCTTTCTCAATCAAATCTTTCCCCTCTCCCATTCCAGGCCCTTTCTTTCTTCTCACTTCCCTCTCCCATCTTCTCTTTTCATTTCTATATCCCTTTTTCTCTTCCCCTTCCTCCCCTTACCTCCTCTTTCCTCGTTCTTCTTCCTTCCCCTTTCCTCTTTCTTACTTCAATAATTTAAACCCAGGTTCCCCTCTTCCCTCCTTCTCCTTATTGTTAAAATCCCCTTTTCCTTATCTCTATGTCTTATCCCTTTTTCTCGATCCTATTTGTATGCCTCTCGCTTCCACGTCCTTCCCATCCCCTCACCTTCACTTCCTACCCATCCTCTCCACATCCCATCCTCTCTCTGCCTCTCTCCTCCAAATCCTCCCCATTCCATCTCCCCTTCACACCCTTCCATCCCAATCGCCCTATGCTCCTCAAACCCACATCCTCCAACTGCCCTTACCTCCATATCCTTCCTCTCTCCATCTTCCACCTTCCATATCCTCATTTTTCCCCTCACCTCCCTCTCCCTCTCTTATCCATTCGCTTCCCTCCCCTTACTCCCTCCCTTCCTCCCTCACTCCCCCCCCCTCACCTCCCTATCATCATCCTCCCCATCCTCTCCCTCACCCTCATCCTCCTCTCCCTCACCTCCCATCCATCGCTCTCCCTCACCTTCTCATCCTCTCCCTCATTCTTCTCCCTTCCACATCCTCCTCCATCCCTCCCTCACCTCCATCCTCCTCTCCATCACTCTCCCCTCCCCATTCTTCTCATCCTCCTCCCCTCAGCTCCCCATCCCTCTCCACCCTTCTTCCCTCACCTCCCTATCCTCCTCCTCCCCTCACCTCCATATCCTCCTTGGTACAGCTCGACGGGATGCAGGTGCCGTACTGGAAGAGAGGGGGCGTGGCCGGGTAGGTGAGAGCCACGCCCACTCGTGCGCTGGCCAATCGGAGGTCAGAGTTGCTCTCGAACTCGCTCTCATTGGCTTTGCTTCTGTGGATGGCGTGGCGGTGATTGGCAAGGAGTGGAGTGATTGGTTAGCAACTGGAGTGATTGGTGAGTGATTGGCAAGGGATTGGATTGCTTGACAAGCTATTGGAGTGATTGGTGAGCGATTGGAGTGGTTGGCGAAGAATTGGCAAGTGATTGGATTGACTGGCTGACAATTGATTGGATTGACTGACAAGCGATTGGAGTGATTGGTGAGGAAATGGCAAGTGATTGGATTGACTGACAAGCGATTGGAGTGATTGGTGAGCGATTGGAGTGACTGGCAAGTGATTGGAGTGATGGGGAAGAGGGATTAGGGTGTAGTTAGGGATTAGAGAGACACATAAGTGTTATGAGAGTGTGATAAAGTTATTTAAAGTGTGATGTGAATGTAGTTAGTGGTTAAAGTGGGGTAAAGTATGTGGTTAGAGTGATTAGAGGGTGGTAAAGAGTGTTATCAGTAGTTAAAGTGTGGTTAATGGTTAGAGTGGTCAGAGTAGTAAGATGGTGAAGTGTGGTTAATGGTCAGAGTGATCAGAGTGTGGTAAGGACATGTGATTAGTGTTTAATGGTTAAAGTGTGGTAAAGAGTGCGGCAAAAAGTGTAGATAGTGATTAAAGTGTAAAAGGCGTGGTTACTGGTTAAAGTGTAAAGAGTGAGAGAGGGTGGAAGTGTGATCACTGATTGGAGGATGAAGATTGGTGTATGATTGGTGATTGGAGTATTTAGAATATGATTAGGGAAAACAGAGCTAGTATTTGTGATTAGGGTAACTAATTGATAATCTGCGATTCAAGAATGATTAGAGATTGTGATGGGAGTGGGTAAAGAATGATTACAAACTAATTTTAAAATGAAAAAAAGTGATTAGAAAATAAAACGAAAGACTAGCTTTTCATCCGACCAACCATAAAGACAACTCACCAACACCCACGAATAAAGAAAGAAAAAAAAAAAAAAAAAAAAAAAAAGATAGATAATTACCTAGCCGTGGAGACCAAGCAATAGCGACCCTGAAAGGTGACGTTGTAGTTCCACGGGAAACCGAGAGCCTCGTCCACGTTCAGTCCAGTGCATTCCTCCATCATCCCCCACAGCAGGTAGTTTCCGTAGATGAGGCCGTCGGGTACTTTGCCCCACGAGTCGGGTACTGTTGGGGGAGAGATGGAGAGAGGGGGGGGTGGGGGGTGAGAGTTGAGGGGCGGAAGTGTTGGGGGTGGTGGGGAGAAGGGAGGAGGGAGGGAGAATGGATTGAGGGGGTGGGGGGAGTAGGAGAGAAACAGAAAAGAGGGAGAAGTGGATTGAGGGGGGGAGGAGTAGGAGAAGAAGAGGAGAGAAACAGAGAAAAAAGGGAGATAGAGAAAGGGAGAGAAGAGAGAGAGAGAGGAAAGGGGGTGAAAAAGAGACAGGAAGGGAAGTAGGGTAAGGTAGGCATAAAATCTCTGCATTTATAAAATAGCTATACTATCTTACACGTGTATTTCGGAAATATTATAGTATATTAATCAAAGTAGGCATAGGATCCATATGCAGAACAAAATACGCAGACACAAAAATAAACACAATACACACACACACAAACGTTAAACATATGCATACACACACAAACGTTAAACACACAAAAAAAGAAAAAAGTTAAACATACACATGCACACACAAAAAAGTTAAAAACACACACGCACACACACAAAAAAAAAACGTTAAACACACATGCGCGCACACACACACACAATAATAAATAAAAAATAAAAAAAATAACATACACGCACACACACTCGCTCACACAAACGTTAAACACACACACACACACACACACACACAAATGAAAAACGTTAGACACACACACTGGAAAACAACCAAACAACCTACTTACGCAATATTGGCCAGAAACGTCCTTTTTGCATAATGACGCCTATAAGTGCATCTGATTCCAAAACTCTCAGGATATTCTGTACGTCGCTGGCACATTCAGGACTCACGAGGGACGCGTTGGTCGACGGCAGGTAGATGCCTTCCAACCACGAGAGGTCCCTCTTTTTGCTGGAAAGAGGTAAAAATGAGGGAAGGGGGGGGTGTTAATGTGGTGAGATGTTTGCTTTGGAGGGTTGGGGGAGGGGGAGGTGGAGAGGAAGGGTGGGAGGGGAGGGAGAGGGAGAGAGAGAGAGAGGAAGGGAGGAGAGGGAGAGAGAGAGGAAGGGGAGATGAGGGAGAGAGAGAGGAAGGGAGGAGAGGGAAGAGAGAGAGAGGGGGGGGGGGGGCAGACAGACATATGGGATAACTTTTGTTGATATTATTACCAACCCCAGAATAAACGAAACAAGTCACAAAATCCGAATAAAGATAACAATACTATAGAACAACCTCTTTTATTTATATTTTATCTATATTAATACATTTTTGGCCCGACTAAACTAATTTCGGTTAAGCTTTGCGCGC